CGGAGGCGGGAAGAAGGCAAACAGACTATTCAAGTCAAGGGCCAAACAATTTTATTAAGTGCAAACAGTTACAAATAAAAGATTGTAATCACTTCCGAAGAAGGGCACAGTACATGAAGCTTATGGGAGTACATGATCCTCCCGGTCACGTGAGAGTGACCAATCTACAGTGAAAGACACTCAATAAATGAGGGCATTCTTAAACAATTAACATAAACTCGTGACCCTTGGAAACAACAACACAGTCATTGTTAAGGACACTCATTGCAATGAGGGCACATTAAGTAGTTACACAAAAACAGTATTATCAGCAAGTGCAAAACACATTTGTAAGAAACAAGGTGTCGATAGCGACACAAGGCACTACCCGTAACGAGCTCATTAGGCCATAGTGCAAAGTTGCCTGCGCCTCAGGCAGTAAAGGCATCAAGTGTAAAGGTGCAATTACATTCACCAACACCGGTAAACAGTTGAATTCAAGTAACAACATGGTAATATCATTCACAACAATATACGGTACCGAAGAAGCTCTCGGTACCAATAAGATACACAAAACTTTGTAAAGCTCAAGGCGGGCATGACCCCAGAATTGCCCTCCCAAAGGCCATGTCAGGTGTATACCTGGTATTGAGTCTATAATGTGAAACAAATGTCTGAGGATTCTTCCAAATGGCCGCTTTGCAAATAGCGTCCAGGGGAATCCCCTTAAGAAAGGCTGTCGATGCCGCCATAGCCCTGGTTGACCGAGCCCGGACGACCGAGGGAGGTTGTTGTCGAGCCAGCTGGTAACAAAGCTCGATGGTCGAGGTGATCCAGTGAGACAAGCGTTGTGCCGTGATCGGCAAGCCCACCTTATCCAGGGCATATGCAACAAATAGTCTCTGAGACCTCCGAGACTGAGCAGTCCTGTCCCTATAACACAGTAATGCTCTCCGCACGTCGAGCATATGAAGTCTTTTTTCCCTCGGGGTAGAGGGAGACTGACACAACGAGGGAAGGACAATGTCTTCATTAACATGGAAGGGGGACACGACTTTAGGGAGGAATGTCACATCTGTGCGGAGAACTGCTCTGTCCTTGTGGACAACAAAATAAGGTTCGTCCACCCGCAATGCCGCAAGCTCCGACGGCCGACAGGCTGAGGTGATAGCGACCAGGAAGGCCACCTTCCACGACAAAAGCCGAAGTTCAATTGACGTCAATGGCTCGAAAGGCGGTTGTGCAAGCCGAGCCAGCACGAGGTCGAGGTCCCAACCCGGAGTCGGAGAACGGACCGGGGGGTGCAGGTTGTTGAAACCTCGCAGGAAAGATCTCACGGAGCTATCCTTAAATAAGGAAGCTTCTCCTGTCCGTTGAAGTTTCCACGATATGGCTGCCAAGTGGGACTTGAGTGACGATAGCGACAAGCCTCTTTCGGTAAGATGCAGCAAGAACGAGAGAATTGACGGTACCGAAGGTCGATGATCGTCTAGGCCCTTCTCGGAGAGGAAGGCCTGGAAGCGGTTAAGGCACGCTGAGTAGCACTTTTTGGTCGCCGGCTTGTGAGCTGCCTCCAGGATCGGAAGAACTCCTGGACACAGGGACCTCAAAACCGGATCCTCCACGCCGAAAGATGCAGAGAAGCGAGGTCGGGGTGGAGAAACTGACCGTCTTCCCGGGAGAGCAGATCCTGCCGAAGTGGAAGGCGCTTCATCCGTCCCTCGGATAACTGGAGAAGGACCGAGAACCACGGTTGTCGTGGCCATTCCGGCGCTATCAAGATGCAGTTCGTTTGCGCCGACTGGATCCTCTCGATCACCCTCGGGATGAGTGGGAAGGGAGGGAAGAGGTAAAGTAGATGCCTCGACCAGTCCAGAAGGAACGCGTCTCCGAGACACCCCGGTACCGTGTTCGGAGCAAGTCGAGCACCGAACTAAGGAAGCTGAGCGTTTTGCGGCGACGCGAAGAGGTCTGCGGCTGGGAGGCCCCACTCCCTGAAGATCCCGGCCAGTTCGTCGGGGTTCAACCTCCACTTGTGAGAGGTTGCCCTGGTTCTGCTGAGTGCGTCCGCCTCGACATTGACTTCGCCCGGGAGGTGTAAGGCTGTTATCGACACCGACCTGGCTACACAC